TGCAACTGTTTCAAAGATTCACCATGGAAATTTAAGAAAAAATAAAAATCTGTCCTAATAGATTGTAATGAACAATCTGCTGTTTATTTAGTTTGATGTTGACAAGTTAGCTTAATTTCTTAGCTGGAAGCGTCCAAGAAAATGTAAATCATTTTGAATGAGGAGAATTGTTTGCAAGTTACACTTCTAAATATTTCTATAGGTGACTGTGTTTTTTTTCCAGTGATTTTCTTCTACAGATGGAGTCATGAAGTGTAGGTATGGTAAAACATTTTAAGATTTCACGTGGCTTTTTATTTTGAGAAATGCTGAGTTTGGTGAGTTGTAATAGGGATGATACTGACCTAAACAGAGTAACTGACTACATTGCTGGGGTGATACGTCAGGATCTTCACTGCTCTTAAAGTACATCAGAATTCTCAGCATGGGTTTGTCAGAAAACTTTGAGAACAATGCTGGGTCTTCCAGACTTCCAGAAACTTATCTGGGAACCCTCACTTGGTATTTGTGGTTTCATCCTCCAAAGGAGCAAACAGAATTTCTGCTCAGAACATATTGGCCTTGACTTTTGGCAGCGCTTTATGTTTGGGACACACCTCAATTAGCTCACCTCTGGAGCTTTCTGAGGAAATGGGGTGAGAGAGGAGAAAAAAAGCCTAATTGTTTTTCTTCTCATAGGCAAAATATTTTTTTTTCTTTACACACAGAAAAAGAGATGCTGGAAATTTCTATTTTTTAGAAAAATCTTAAGTGGTTGAATTTTTACTCCATATTGGAACTGGATTGTCTTCAATGTAAAGCATTTTCCAATGAGTTCCAACTGTCTGTAAGCATAGAATGGCTGGGAAAAGCTACGTTACATGTCATATGTATTCATAAGATCGGTTACTGCTGTTTTCTGTTAAACTACATCCTTCAAATGTTAAAATACATCAAGAAAAGAAATGATTTACTACACAGCTGATCACACTGATTTGCCAGGTATGACCACACTTGTTTTTTGTTGCATGGCAAGATAACACAGATGTGTAACACAGATAACACAGGTCACTGCTAATTCTGATGTGTGTAGCACGATGTTACTCTGCATGATGCACAACGTGAGGCTCAGGCATTCCAAGAGGCACATGATGATATTTTAATGGGAAAAAACTTAATTGCCAACTAAATTATGAACATAGCTTTCCCTAGAAATATGACTGTATTGAGTACAGTTCAGGAAACTGCGATCCTTAGTGTATTTTTATAGGACAATCCGGTGCGGTTGTGACAAGCCTAAAGTCAAAGATTCAGTCTGCTTGATGTTAGCGTGGGAAGCTCTGCATGATTTCCTGCCATCTATAGCTTCAGTTCTTCAGGTTCATCCTTATTGCAGCTGAGCAATATTATTCTGTGCTGTCTAATATTGCTCATATACTGCATAAAGAGCCTGTAATACAGTCTTAGTAGAAACAGGCTTTGTGTTTGCATTAGTCAGGTGATGTATAGTGTCTTTATTCATAATGTGCCAATGTAAGGTGAGGGATGCATAAACTAGTCTGCTCTTGTACTGAAGAACAATTGTCACCATTCTTATTGTCCCTGCCATAGGTAAAGAAACGTACAGATTTGACTTGAGCTATAAGGAATAAATTTTGAATGTTAAGCATAGCATTCTATGGTGCGAATTAAAAAGCGAGGGATAAAAAGTAATAAATCGTTAATGGGAGGGCAATTACTGTGGGAAGCTTCTCTGGAAACTGGAAAACATGGCTTGTTGGTGATTCTTCTGTTGGGGTTTGGAGAAATCAAGAGTATAGTAAGAGTGTGTGTGTATGTATAAAGGGTATTTCTTCACAGTCTTGAGGTGAGGAAGTAGAAGAAAATCAAAATGAGACAGAAATGGACAGAATTGTTACAGAAATGAGAAATTTCCTATGCTGGTTTGTTCTGAGCAAGTGAAATGTATTTCACACTTTTGTGTTGAGTTTGGAACAATTTGTATCTTCCTCATACTTTCATTTTTACATGATCAATATTTATGATGGGATTTTGCTATTTGTTTCATAAAATGCATATTTAAAGTATACGTCAGTAATAATGGAAAAAATATTTTTAAAGCATAGGTGTGCATATAAAGTCCATTTAAAGTGTAGGTGTTGAGTATTTTATTCAGCTTGCTGGTTTTATCCACATATGAATACGTGTATGCATACATATGTAAAAGGTTAATGGATTGTCTGGATTTTCCAATATCACACTGTAAAGTTTCAAGCATATTTTAAGGCTCAGCATGTCTCTCACATTCTGTCCCAAAGCCATAGAGACGTCTTTGTCCAAAGATGTGTACACATTTATGGAGGGTGTGAAGTTTTTTACAATTTCCTTGGCAACCTAACAATATTTACATCACCACAATTTTCTTATGCAATAAACATTTGCTGTTCAGCTGGCTAGGACATCCCTGATCTGTTCCTTTGAGCTGTGTGACTGGGATAACCCAGGTTTTTGAACTGGGTTATCTATTGTTTTCTGGGCATACGCATGGACAAAGGACCTGTTGGGTCCTGTAAATATGTTTGGTTTTTTGTCTCATAGAAATGCAAGCAAGAATTCTTTGTGGTCCCATAAAAATTTTGTCAGGGGTGCTTATAAGAAACAGGGAAGATTTCCCTGGCAAAGTACTAATTCTGTGGCTTTTCTTGCTGCTATTTCAAATTTCCTGAAGAAATCTTCCCAAGTCCTTCGAAGTCTTTTTCCTCATTTGCTGTGAGCTGGTTCAGTTCTTCGCTCATGCAGCTTTTCTGCTTTTCAGAGTTAGCTCTTTGAAATCCAGAAGATGTTGCTGGCATTTGTAACTAATCATGGCACATAATCATAGTACGTAATCAAAAGAGGGTACCCATGTCAAAGGAGGGAATTCTTGTTCAGCTTGCACAAGAATAGATATGTGCATTTGAAAGAGCCTTTCAGGTGTGAGTGCACCAAGGCTGTAAAATTTCTCTTCTACCTTATTCAGGATCCAGACTGGATCCTGCTGGTGCAGGACTCACCTTCCTCCTCTGCAGGAGGGTACTTCTATTTGTAGTCTCCAGTGGAAACGGGAGACATTAGGGAGGCCTGGAATGTAAATAAATAAATGAAAACCCCCCAATAAAATATAATAACAATAACAACAATGACGATGGATTATTATTCTTAGAAAAAAAGGATTTGTTTAGAAATTGGAAAATTACTAGTCAGTGGAGAACTTACTTTTGAGTTTCCTCAAAAGCTAACCCTCCTTTCTTTGGGTTGGGAATGCTGTTTATTTTATTTGAATGTTGTTTATTTTATTTTAAATGTTTCATGTAAGCCTGAATTGTAATGTAGATAAGAGCTCTAGAAATTCATAGTTCTGCTGTGGGCGTTAGCTTGTCCCTTTATGGATATGTGTTATTGACCACACAGTACCATGGCCTTCAACTTCTGTATCGGATTTTTTCCTGATCTGGGTACCAGCAGCAGGACCGAAGAAAATAGCATGAAGCTGTGTCAGGGGCAGTTTAGATTAGGTGTTAGGAAAAGGTTCTTCATCCAGAGAGTGATTGAGCACTAGAACAGGCTCCCCAGGGAAGGGGTCAGAGCACCAAGCCTGACAGAGTTCAAGAAGCGTTTGGCACATGGCGTGATTGTTGGGGCTGTTCTGTGCAGGGCCAGGAGCTGGACTTCGATGGTGCTTGTGGATTCCTTCCAACTAAGGATATTCCGTGATTCTATGATTCTGTAATCACCTATGCTCTGAAGGAAAAGGCAGTAAATTATGCTTTCTGGATGGAAAATTTTTCATTTTCTGAGACACACAAGAGGCTGAGGGGTACCTCAGCTGGCAGAGTAATGATACTGGGGATTGCAGGACGCCACATGCACACCAGTACGAGATGACATTCGCAGAGGAGGGTGGGCTGCAGCGTCTGCCGAGGCCAGCGGGCCGAGCGGGAGCGGCCGCGGGAGGGCGGCAGAGCCTCAGGAACGGAGCGGAGCCGCTGCCCCGTCCTGCTGCGGCTCCAGAGCTGCTGTGCCTGCCACGTATTTGGAAAACAAATCCTGCAACAACACGAGCTAGTCAGAGGGGTCAGCATGTCTCACAGTCATAATAGCAGACGAACGCTATTATGAACGCAGACTCGCTTCAGCTCTTACTTCCATGGGTCATTCTTTAATTATTTGTAGTGTGTCCGTCCAGATTAGACAGTAAGGTCCTTGGGGTAGGGACTTGTCTAAACGATGTATTGCTATGCACACCTATGACACTGTGCAAATAATTAACTGCTGTAATTATCGTGCTTGTAAAGCACCCTCACTTGACATTGCTACTGGGCAGTCACTGTCATTTAAATATGACTGTCAACCGGACTAGGACCTTGAGTTTAAAACTGGAGGGAGGCTAAGCCCTGATTCACTAACATGGTCTATTGCTTTTAAGTGTTTGTAGAAATAAACCAAAATTTTACCCATTAAAGTTTTCCTTAAGTGCTTCCTGGGTGAGAATGACCAAACTGCCTGGAGACTAATGCTCTCCAATGGAGAGCATCTGGGAGAACCAGGTTCTAGCCCTTGCTCCACTAAATATTTAAACAAGAAGGAAATGCATTAGTAAGGGATCTTGTGAGATCTTGGCAAGTTTTTAATCTATTTCATCATCTTTCAAGATGTTCATCAGTAGCAGATGAGGTTTCTAGGGGCCATGGCCTTCCACAGAGGTTTACCTCCCTCCATGTACTGTCATGATGCTCAGTGTATGGAACTGGACATCTTGGCTTTCAGGAATAGTCCAAATTGGAAGCCATGAAAGATCTGTGTCTCACCTGGCTCTAGAAGAGCTGCTTGGGGTGTTCTCTGTCCCTCTTCCTGGCTCCCAAAGTGATGCAGTCTGCCTGAATATACATAGAGCTTGCCAGAGCTGTATGCTTCCTACCAGACAGAATAAACATATGAGGAACAAATGCTTTTCTTTCACAGACAAGGACAGGTGAAAGATCACAAAGTCTTAAGGAAGGAGATTAAAGCAACCAAGAAGCACTACGAAAGCTCTGCTCCTACTACCTGAGTTTTTGAGGTACGCTGGGAGCTTCTTCAGTACATTGCCTTCCCAATACTGGCAGCTCTGCAGAAGAGCCAGCTCTCGTTCAAAGGGGTTGTTTTTGCAGTACAGGAGTCCTGAGCTCTTGCAGGGAGATAACAGAGGACTGCTGGTTGGTAAAGATTGCTGTCAACAGAGTAAATGTGCAAAAGTAACTTTATACCTAGAATGTGCAGGGATCAAACAGGATTAACATTGCAGAAAACTAACACAGGCATGTGTGTGCTTGTGTGTGTAAAGCTTCATCTCATGATTTCAGGGAAAGAGTGGTGTTTGCTCCAGAAATCACACTGGCGCCAGCAGGAGCTGGTCTGGCTGCATCAGGGTTACAGTTAACAGCTTGAAACCAGCACCTAAAGCAGTGGTCAAGCTACTGATCTGAAGGGGGTAATTTAGGGCTGCTGATCCCACTGCTTCCTCAGTTATTTGCTTTCTTTATCTCCAGTGGCTAATGCAACACCCAACCGGCCCCTAAAAGGTCACTCTCGTTGCAGCTGAGCACCTCAAATGCCTAACTGCAGTATTGGGCTCCTTTTACTTCTTTCCTTCATGCATTTTACCTTTTTGGCTATGCACTGAGGTACCTTCAAAAGGGGGAATAGACTAGGATCACATCTGGTTTATTCACTGCTCTGTGCTGAGACTCATACCCCTCTTGGTTTGAAGGGGCCCTAGGCATGTGCCTTAGTGCCCTTTCACTACCTGGAGCTTGGCATGAGCATTTTTTGCACCACAGGTCCAGCAGAGGGTCTATTCTGGCACCAAGAAGACCATGCCCTACACTTTAGATAGGAACTTAGATGCTACATCAGTCATCCTGCATCTACACGATGCTCTACTGACAATTTCAGGCTGAAGAGATCATGTGTGTATATAGGCACTTAATTCAAAAAGGAGGCCAGTGAGCCTGTTTTTGCACATTGGTACCAAACAGGCTTTGTAACATGGCGTGCTCAAGCTTTTCAGCTCTCCTGGGAAGCAGGTTGGTGTTACTCCCATTTTAAAAACGAAGGCTTATTGACTTTCTCTCAAGGGCTGCAGTAGAACACAGATATGCAGAGAACAGAGTTGTGTGCTGTCCTCAGGCTGCGCTGCCCCACTTTGGCATTCCCTCTGTGTCAAGGCCAGAGGCCAAGCTCTGCAGCTCTCCCAAGCACATCTGCAGTGCTATTGAATTCAACAGCATCAAACACTCAGGAGAGCAGAATTTGGTCTCAAATATGCAAAAGATTTAAATGGGTGATTTGACACACCATGACAAGAGAGGGACTTCTGAAGAGTAACAAAAGGTTGTGAAATTGCTAAGGGATTAAGTTGTTTGAATCATTGTTCCAGCTTTATTAAAAAAAGGTATAAATTCATTTCAGTTCTTAGCGGATTTCAAGCTGCCAATTTCTGAGCTTTCACAGCCTTTGATGTGATTCCAGCTTTCTATGATGTAAGTGGATTATTTTTTCCTTAATTCTGAAGAGGCCATTTCCCTCCCAGCCCCCTCCAGAAAAATGTCGCAACAATCAGACTCTAACCAAATACTGATTTTTGGTTAATTGTGGATGTTAACCCACTCTCTGCAGTGGTCTATTTTTCATATACTTTTCAAGACTTGAGTAGAAGGGGAAGATACCAGTGGTAAACCACTATTTTAAATAACAATGATCCTAAAACACACAATAGGCCATGCACTTCAGTTCCAAACTGCATACATAAAGAACAGTTAATCCATCCTTTAAATACAGCCAAGTTTGGGGTGGAATATGGCAACTTTTTAGCATACAGAGCAGCAAAACACAATTTAAGCTGCAGCATGAGGAATAGTTTATCCAACAAAAAGCAAAAGGGAAATGTAGACAGGAAGAATGCAATTATATACCTGGACTTAATCCAAGACACCTGAGCTGACATTTCTGGTCTAGCTGAAACAGCCCCAGAATCCTTAAATCAGGGCAAACAGTCATGACTGTGCACCTTGTGCAGTGGCAGAGACTTCCAGTGGTACCAGGGTGCTTCCCGCTGACGTGGATAAGCTGGATCACTGCAGGTTCAGAGGAAGACATCTGCCTATTGAATTATCAGTGTAACAGCCTGTACATTTCTTGCATAGTAATACTTCTGAAATACACTATGTGAAAATTGCTGAAATCACTGCTCAGACAAGTGTGGCTGAAGATATTAATGTATATTTGGGTCCAAAAATAATACAGCTTTTAAAAGAGGATTGCAATGGCAAACTTGGTATTTTATCCCTTACAGACAGGTTGTACTTCCTTATGGGGCATGCACACCTTTTAAGTCACAGTGGTAAACAATGTCCTGAAGAATCTGGGGGAGATCCAGGAGCAGGAAGATGAAGAAAGCTTCCTATGGGTGCTAAGGAAGAATGACCATTCTGTGATGGGGCTACGGGGATGTGGACATACATCCCTTTTCGGTGACTGTCACGCGCTGCAATGTATCGTACCTCGAGCAGGAACTTGGCTATTGTCCAATGTAAAGAGTGGTTTTATTTTGCAATGCAGCGTAATCCTATAAATTAAACTCTTAGAGTAGACCGTCTCATTTTCCTTGCATAGCACTGTGTACTATCATGGTAGAGATGTGGAGAATTTGGGGAAATGATCCACTGGCTTCTCCAGTATGGGCTTGCTTGCAGGTGTGCTGAAGATCATCTGATGCTGCTTTGGAAGTTTTTATTTTTACAGTCTTCTGTGCTATAACCGGCATCTTTAGGCTTTCTGAATTAATTACAGTGTTGCTCTCAGAAGCAAAACAGTGGTTTGTAAATTTGTATGTTTAGATCTTTTAAATGCCTTATCAGAAGGTTTTAATGAGCAATCATAACCAGTCTCATTACTTGAGACCCACTAGTGATTCTTCCTTGATTGCTTTACTCTTTGTTAGTAGAATTCAATACACGGGCTGTGAAACTGATACTGCTGTGATAAATATATACCTAATTTTGGGGTGGCTATGAATTTGTTGTAAGGAAAATGTTTTCTCTGCATAAGACTTAAATGAAAGAGCTCAAACATTGAACAGATAGAAATTAATTTGTATATTCCAGACCTAAATTTTACAGGCAATTGAAATCAGAAATTTTGTGCTAACTATGTGTTCTGCAGTTACCTTCAGGACGTTTTCCCTTGGGAAGAAAGCTTGTTTATTCTATCCTCCATTATGCACTAGATGGCACTGTTTCATAGCTTGTGGACCTGTTGCTTAATGTGCAAGTGAGTTTATTACTGTGGGAGGAAAGTTAGTGCTAAGATAGTTGCTACATTGGAAATACTGATAAACAAACCCACCATCTTTCACAGGATCTGATTGCTGTCGTTTAATATTCACACTGGCTCAAAGCAAAATACCGAAACAACACTTGGTTAGGGATTTTGGCCTGGAATCTGGAAACAAGGCCCACAGCTTTACATTACACCAACTAAACCAAAATCAACTGACATTTTAGGAGGTTTATGTGGATTTTGAATCCTTGAAAGCTCCTGGTCTGAGCAGTCCTGGAAGCCATGCAGGAGCATCATGCCAGAGACAAGGGAACCTTATAGGCATGCATCTATACACCGTATACACTCAGACACTAACTCACTATTGTCACCAGGCCCTGGATTTGGCCTAAAATACACAGCATAAACATGCTCTGCCCGACTTAGTAACTTCATCACTCTCATCTGTAAAATGAGGATTTCTCCTTTTTTCCCCTCTTATTGGATTAAGCTGTAAATCATAGCTACGCTCAAGTTTCTCTATTTTTGGCTGGGGCCTCAAGGCTGCTATTACTATGAATAATGCTATGTCTTCATAATGTATTACGGTCCCAAAATAGCAATGACTATATAGGAAACTGTGTCCCAGGATAATACCAGTACGGTTTTTACAGTCCAAGTGGATATTAATTTGAGTAATATTAAGGTTCCCCTTGCAAAACAGCAGACACTGGTTGTTTAAATTTGGTTGTTACACTCTATATACCTGAACACAGAATAAGTCTGAGTTGCTCATTACTCTGTTGCACACACTTACTGCTAATGTCACTTATGGGATTGTGAGAGGATGAGAGTAAGATCCAGCTATTTGATTTTTTTCCTATGACACAAAAAATCTTTTGGTGTCTCTGGTTTGCCAGTTCACATTCATTTGCAGTCCTAGGGTTTGAAACTGGCAGTCCACCAGTGATGGACAAAGGCAGTAACCCAGTGAAACACCAAAGCACTCCTGAGAGCCAGTTTGCAAGCATTTTTGGGAATGTCAAATCTGTCTTCTCTCTCACAAAAGCATTTCAACTTGGTTTTGTTCACTAGGTGGCACAAATGCATAAGAGATTGATTTGGAAAAGTTTTCTCTGCAATTTTACTGTTGATGTTCTAAAATGCATCCAGGGTAATTTTGAACATGTTTCAAGAGTGATTTAGGCTCCAGAGTTCATTTTTGAAGAAAGACCCACAGTGATATGTTCACTGGGGACAAGCCAGTGCACCAAGCCTCAGTCATGTGAGCAATGTTTCTTCCAGTGCCTTGACACAACCAGCTGCATTCATATCCTCCAGGATGAACTGGTTGTATGAAAGACCCTCCTTCCCTTCTTGGTCTTTTCCCAGGTTACAGAACGAGGGGAAGAAAAATTTTTACTAGACCAACACTAGCGTAAAGGTACTAATACATAATTTTTTTAATCAGAGAGGCAAAATGCTTAGTAAAAACTTTAAATTTTCTCAGCTTTTATATTCTCATCCACTTTTAAAAATATAATGCATGCTCATATTAAGTTATTGGGACTTTATCTCCCACCCCTGACACATTCAGGAGTAGAATTTTTAGGAAGGTGCATTTCTTGACCCTTCTTTTCTTGAGTGAAAACTTCAAAATAGAAAATAACCATCTAAAAAGAAAGAGAAATTTAGTTTTCCAGTTTCAGTGAGGAAGTTGGATGCACTAGGGAGCTAAATTTATTATTATAATAAGTTTTTTTAAAAATTAAAATGTTCAATACTGAAAAAATTCCCATAAATTCTGATCATGGAGGAAAAAAGTAAAGAAAGACCTAGCTGGGCAGCAGAAAAGGTGTAAACTGGACAGTATATTTTAAGAAATACTGGTAGATAAAACAGATGGTAGCCATGTCCTTCATCACCTAAGGTTTGGCTGGACAGAGGACGGAGAGGCAAAGCCAGTAGCATAGTGATGGGTGCTGACCTGTTTTCCTCCTATCCTCCTGTCATGCCACTTGTCTCTGAGCTGGAAGGATTGAACTGAGATGGGAGCTTAAAGGATTTTATTTGAGGTTCCTTTTCTGGCTTGTCAGCACAGGTGGTCTTCTTACATGTGCTTTTAGAAAGTGCTGGCATAAATCCCAGAAGAGATGTGTCCTCTACTCCTTTCTCTAAGGCTCTATTTTGCTGCTTAAGATTTTCACATTTTGACCAAATCGCTATTTTCCAAATATGACTTTTTCTTTGTTTGACATATATTCATATATATGTATATATTCTGGCTTCATAAATTCTTTCTGTTAAGGAATAATCAACTCTTCAGTTTCTCTCCTGATCTCCGCTGCTTAACTCTGAAGATAATAGAAATGATGTGATTTTAAGGTCAAGGGTGAGTATGAGACCTGCCGACTGATGAGGTTTGTGCTGTGCATAAAGAGAGAGCAGGCAGTGGGAGAAAGCCACCACAACCATTGAAATGCAAGCAGAATACTGAAGGTAGGGAGGGCTCAGGCTCTGAAAGTGAGTAACTTAAACATTTTCTTTCCAAACATCTGTAAATTGTTAGTCTGATTTATTTTGAATTAAAAATCTTTTTTAGCAGACTGACAGCTTATTTTAATTTTCAGCCATTAGATTCTCAGATGCTTGAATTTCGTGCTGCACCATTGCCTTTGATGCTGGAGAAAGGTGCCCCTGCTCGTCAGGTATACTTGGGTCCTTTACCAAAGAATACTGGTTTCTTTCTTCCTCTGTGGACAATACCCTCTTACCAGTTGGATAAACTCCTTGGCACAGCATACTACCCCTCTTGAAAGTCTGATACTGTTTTCAGTCCTGTTGGAAACAGCACTAGTCTCACTTCCTAGGCCAGTCAGATGAAGCAGTGTCTTGGTTTAAAATGATGTTGGCAAACACTATAAAAAATATGAGATGTCAATGTCTCTGCATGGAAAAAGCCAACATAAAAGAGTTCAAGACTTAAAGCACCCCTCGCCCCACTCTTTCCCGTCCACTGTTGTAATTTTGCTTTTGTTGCAGTGGTTATTGATTGTTCAGTGAAATTACTTATTCTCTCCCTCTAGAAATCCAAAACTCAGCTCATAAAGACCTCTAACTCATGAAGTTACCTCTAATTTCAAAAAGAATTATAGAAGAAAGAAAATGTATTAGATTATATCTCTGTTGTTCACTTTGGTTGCTAATACTGACTAGATTTCAAACAAATGCCTGTGATTCTGAGCTTGGTGCTCTGACAACTGAAATAGCTGGATTTGATATATTTTTAAAAAATCTACAGCTGAGTACTACTTCTAGGTAGTTCAGATCTGTGCCGTGTCATGACCCTTCTAGGAAACACATCTAATCCTTAAACTTGGTAAAAATTTAAATCTAGATTTAAATATACTCATTTCCACCTGAAATCATATGAGGTAAAAGAAGAGTTAAATGTTTCTACAGGTGATCATGTTCAGCACCAGGTGATCCATCTATGTGTAAAGTTCAAATTCAAATTCTGATATGGCTGAATTTTCTTTTTTTTTTCGGCCCACATCATAGGATTTAGTATTATTATATCCAACCTATAAAATTCTTCCTCGGCAAATCTTCTAGGATTGCTTGAAGGCAGTAGCACATTCAGCAGAGCTTTGCATGAGTGAGTTATTTTGGCAGGTCCCAGAATTTACTGATCTCACATAAAAGTCTGACCACCCTACAACTGAACCCAGTATGGGTTGTGGCAATGACACTGCAGGGTGTTTCATTTTTTATGATTCCTCTTCGTAGTATCACAAAGGTCTTTATGGCAATGACAAGTTTTCTGGTCTGCTAATCATGGCCAACAGATAGTAAACACACCTCCCAATAGATGACTTGATCTCTGAATGGTGTTATGTTTGGACTTTATAGTAATAAGCACACATTAATGTTTCTAGATTCAGGTCTCCATTCTGCAGACTTCCCTAAATGCTTGAACTTGTAAGCAATGTGGGCACTGTGTTTACCTGAGTTTCATCAGGAATAGTATGATGATCATCTTCCTGTGTCTGGGGAAGTATTTGGTTAATGTGTAAGAGAGAAAAAAGTCTCCTTCAATCTGTGCCCATCTTCTTTGAACATTTGACAAAATATATGCTGACAGATTTCTGAGCAATACTCCAAGGCAATGGGTATCCCAATGCTTTCCCAGACCTCCCTCTGTTCTCCCTTGTTGTGACAGGTCCTAAGCCATAGAACTAATGAAATACTTCTACCTAATATAAATATAGCAAGTCTAGGATAAACCCAACAGAAATCCATGCAAAAAATCCAGTAACAGAAACCTG